AGAGCAGGTAGGGGAAAAGGTACTTTTCTCCCTTTCTCACAATACAAGAATTCGTGGGCACTCAATGAAATTGCTAAGCAGTCGGGTTAGAACGGATAAAAGTAAGTACTTCTTCACCCAAAGGGTGATTAACGCATGGAAGTCACTGCCACAGGAGGTGACGGCGGCTACAAGCATGGACAGCTTCAAGAGGGAATAGGATAAACATATCGTTTACTGTAGTAATTCTGTAGAAAATTTTCTTCTATAATCGCTCACATGCAACGAATACTGCGCACTGTTGACTCTCTAATAACAGAAGACGACCTTGGGTTATGTTATTAGAGAGTCAACATGGAATGGGATTCCTACATGCTCAGATAAAGCAGATATTGTGAAACGAATTGTTTTCAGTGTGCAGTATTCGTTGCATGTGAGCGATTATAGAAGAAAATTTTCTACAGAATTACTACAGTAAATGTTTTTGCAACTTATCTTTACTGACTCTTCGTTATTTTTGTCACAGATGTTGTTTTTGGTATTCCCCTTCCTCCCGTGGTCTCTCATTTTTGGCTTCAGCAGAAGAAAAGGACCTGCTAACCCTTATGTCCGTGGACTTAGATGGGTGTAACTCAGCTTTTGACTGCACAATAAAATGGTTTGCACTCAAAAATTAAGGAGCTGGGTCTTGTGCCTCTAGCAATGGCTTGGGCTGTCAACAGAGCACGGGGAGAATCCCTTCCATGCGTACCCTTTCACTGCAAAAGGGCTGCGCCAGTCCAGGCAGCTGGTGAATCATCCCCTTATGCTTCAGCCGCTTCCTTTTAAAGTTCAACTAAGCAGCACACTCTAAACCGCCCCCCCCCAGAGGACAACATTTTAAAAGAGCATCCTGATGTGACTTCGGATGCAGCGCGTCACTGCTTCTTAACTTCACGTGTTTCACTTCTCTTAATTGAAAAGGAGTGTTCTCTCTCTCTCTATATATATATATATTTATAGCTGCAAAACTGGTTATTTGCAAAGCATCCATAACAGCAAAAACAAGACGGGAGGGGCAGGGGGGAGAAAGATAGCAATCTTTTCACCAGGCTTCCTACCCTAAGGCCATCTTTGTATAAGGCTGCGTAGATCCCTCCATCAATTGCCATCTGTCACCCAAACGTAACATAATTAAATCAAAGTTTGGCACTCGCAGATCGCTGTTTTGATGAAAAGGGAAGGAACAGGATCGTGCATTCAAGTGTACAGGGGGTGGGACGGGGAAGAGAAGGTTGTACATTTTTATACCTTTCCGGAATGATTTGCTTTCCATCCACACGTTCCATATCCATTTCCCCTGCATATATTTTTTTAAATAGTGCCACAACAGCAGGAAGTCCATGAAGTTTTAGGATATACAGTCCAAGTACTACAGGGAGGAAAATAAACCATGCACCGGGCTGTCAATCAGACCGTAACACACTGGCTGGAGCTTCTAGGAAACGAAGGAATGCTTCGATGGTTTTGTACCTCATTTAAGTCGCTTTTTTTTTTAGGTCTTCCCTTTTGTATTGCTTTGAAAGTCTTCTTTTTAAAATCACAGTCCGTAGCTGCAATGTACAAGCAGGTGAACATCGCTCAAAATGGTGGCTTGTGAAAGAGTAGCAAGGTTTCCTCTGGGCAGACAGTGGCAGTTTTCTCTCACATGCTTTTGGGAGGAGTGGCCATGTTTGTGTTTGTGTGCAGGCCAGGGGACTGCGACGTCGTGACAAACCTGACCCTGATACTGGTCAGAGCCTACCCACAGTGCTTCCTCAGGGTTCTTCTTCCGAAAAGAGGCGCTCCAAGTCAGGTCTAGCAAGACTCCCATGAGTCCCAAACCCAGCCAGGTGTTTGAGCCCCAAATGCCTGGTTCACACCTGCAGGAGAATGAGAGGGTAGAATGCTGTGACGAGACTCCACCAATTTGGGCTGTGTGGGGGAACAAGGTCACTCATCTCCAGGTTGGTCGTGGAGTTATCCTGAAATCACAACTGATCTCCGGACGCCAGAGATCAGTCCCTCTAGAGGAAATGGCAGATCTGGAGGGCAGACTCTATGGTATTTCATAGAGTCTAGGAGAACCAGAAGCCCTAGAGAGATATCAGAATGTCGCTGAGCTCCCTCTCCAGTAATTTCTCCAGCCAGAAATGGCAGCCCTAGGGGAAAATCACAGATTGGAACACTCCCCGGTTTAAAACTCCCTGCAACTGGAAAACTAGGATAGCAGGAAAAGAGGAAAGGGTGCACCTTTCTGGCCTGACCTGGATGGCCCGGGCTAGCCGGAGTTCATCAGATCTCGGAAGCTAAGCAGGGTCGGCCCTGGTTATTGCTTGGATGGGAGACCACCAAGGAAGTCCAGGGCCACAACAGAGGCAGACAATGGCAAACCCCCTTACGAATCTCTCTTCTCTTAAAAAACTGTATGAGGCAGCTATGAGTCCACTGCGACCCCCACCACATCCTTCCTCTCCGTTGTGATCATTTTTCTAGCTGCAGGGAGGTCCTTTTTTTGACCCTTCTCATTCTCATCTCATTCTCTTGAATGTGCAATTTTTTGGCAGGAACGCACAGGAACGGAGTTCCGGCTGGCTCCCGAGTTGGCCACGCCCAGCAGGAACTCATTAGCATAATAGGCCACACCCAACAGCAGAAACTCATTAGGATTGGCTACATTAGGGGTGTGTGGCCTAACATGCAAAGGAGTTCCTGCTACAAAAAAAGCCCTGGGTTTTGACAACAAACAAGGTAAACAGAATAAGAAGGGAAAGGTGGATGTGGTTGGATGACCACACTTCTGGCAACATGGGGGTGTGGCCTAATGTGCTAATGAGCGGTGCTGTCAGGGTGTGGCCTAATATGCTAATGAGTTTTGCTGTTGGGTGTGGCCTATTATGCTAATGAGTTCCTGCTGGTCTTTTTCTACAAAAAGAGCCCTGGTTCACACATCCCTCTGTGCATGTTAATTAATCAAGGAAGGGGAAATCAAGGAGTCACATATGTATAGATCGATCCCTCTCTGGCCACAGCAGAGGAGAGAGATCGGATTTATATCCCGCCCTTCACTCGGAGTCTCAGAGCGGCTTACGATCTCCTTTCCCTTCCTCTCCCCACAACAGACACCCTGTGAGGTAGGTGGGGCTGAGAGAGCTCTGAGAGAACTGCTCTTGAGAGAACAGCTCTGAGGGAAACTGTGACTGGCAGAATCAAACCCGGTTCTCCCAGATTAGAGTCCACGCTCCTAACCACTACACCAAAGGAAATAGTGGGATACTCTCACCTGGGGATGGGGCAGATATCTTGCCTGAGATGGGGAGATGGAGTTCCCCCAGCGAGTTTTGTTTACCCAGCAGCCAACAAAAGCCTGCCTCAGAGCCCAGCCTCTGGTGGTGTCCCCCACTCTCACCTACAATGCAGGCTGCTGCGCACAAAATATCTCCTTGTGCAAAGCGTCCGCATTGCAGAGGTGGTTTCCAGCAACGTCAGCATGATCCCTGTATCGTGAGAAGCAGCCTCCCCAATGTTGACAAGGTGTTTCCTGCCACCGTTCATTCCTCTACACAGTTCAACAGCGAGACTGAAAAGGAGAGGAAGCGAAGCCAGACTGTGGGTTGGTATCGTGCCTTACCTGCCTAAAAGAAGGAGTCACTCGTACAAAACCTCGGCCACATGGAGGGGGCAGCCAGTAACCATGAAGCCTAGAAAATTAACTCAACAGGCCGAGTGTACAGCCTCTGGTATTGCAGTTACCTCTGACTGGCAAAGATGGGCAGTTGGTTGTCTCCTCATCAAAAGACCCACTGGAAGGGGCGAGGAAGGAGTTTCCTCCTCCCCTGATAACAGTGTATACATATATATATCTAAGAAAGCTAGTTTCATGGTTGGCAAGCGACTCCTCCGAGTCAAATATTTCATACATTTTTTTTCCCGTAGGAGTAAAAGATTTTAAAATTTCGAGCTGGCAATTATAATGTAAGAATGTCTGTACAAACGTGTGAATCTCGCTCGGGAACATATCTACCCTCAAGCTCCGCAACGCCGCTAGAAGCTGACGACTCACCTTAACATTTGCCCTGATAAGGGAATTACAAAACAGTATTCCAGAAAATATTTTTTTTCCCTTGTGTATTTTTTTTTTTTTGCTACTCCATTATTGGTTGGCAACGTGGTGAAAGAGTCAGGAAATCCTCCTGGAACTTTTGTCGCTCTGGAGGTGAATCCAATGTTAAGAAATAAAAATCTAGATACTTAACTGAAGAGAGTTATTTTTTTGTTTTGTTTTGTTCCCTTCTGTTAGACCAGAAGTCATTTGGAAAGCCCTCTATGACTGCAGTCGGCGGCCGCACTGCATCGGCCTGTGTCTATCGACGAGCGGCGTGCCGCTATGTACGTCGTATGCTGTAGCCAGGAAAAAAAAAGATTAGTTAATTACAGAATAGGTTAATACTGGCTGAGATCTTCATTTAAAAAAAAAACGAACAAACAAACACCTTCAACCAAAACAAAAAGAGCTGGGTAATTTGGTCCCAAGTCTGGAGTCTGTTAGAAAATGTACATTCAATGTTTGGTCTTCTACGCCTTGATGAAAGATCAAGTTTCACTTCCGGGTTAAGGAATCAAAGTAAACAAGTAATGGTCAGTTGCCTAGAATTAACTTCCTCTGTTCTCCTCTTGTACGTATGGACAGTTCATCGTTATACTAATGCAAAGCACTTGGTATGTAAGTGAATAAAGAGACTCCGTATAAGCCCTCGGAAATAGATGCAGTGTTATTTTTTTTCCTTTTAAAAGCCCATGTTTTTAAGGCCACAAAAAAATCTGCTAAAAGTTTTATTTTGTGTGTGTGTCTTTAAATTCACCTATCCTCCGAACGTCCCCCTTCCGTGATGTTCAAGAGGACCCATTTACTCTCACTGTGTCTGTAAACACTGGAGATCCTGGAGGTCTGGCCTCCCCTCCCTGTCGATTTGTAAAGATCCAAGGCTGAGCTCGAACTACATTCACAACGAAGAAGAACTCTGAGTATAATCTCTTATCATAAGCGAGTCATATTTGGGCGAGGAAGGGATGCAAAGGGCCGATTCGGACGCCGGCGAGCTGGGCGAGCCGCTACCAGAATCGACCGAGTCCCTGAAAGGGGAAGGCGGGGTCAGAGCCACCAACTCTTCCAGCTCTGGCTTGGCAATGGCCGGCGGCACTTCCGTGGAAGGCCCTTCTTTGATGCTCCCGCAAGACGGCTTCCGGCTCGACTGCGATGCGCCATTCACCTCGATGGCTGGGAGGGGCTGGATCTCTGCAAACGTTGTCATGGTCGTCGGAAGCTGGATCTCTCTCGGGATCAGGTAGGAAGAACACAGAGGAGTGGCCACCATCGTTCCCGGCGTGGTGGTGGACAGCATCATGGAGTTGAGCTCGCTGATGTTGGCGGTGAAGCGGGTCACCACGCTGCTGATCTGCTCCATCAGAGAGCCCTGGGAACAGCTGCTGCGCTGGGCTTGCTCCGTCTGGAACGTCGGGACGTCGTCTTCTGTCCGGCTAAGGGAGGCAGTCCTCTGGCTGACCGTACTGATGGGAGAGGGGGTCTGGGCTCGGTACTGAGCGGGGTAGTGCTCCTCCGCTTCGGAGACGTCATAAAGCGTCTTGGCACTGGACTCTGGGAACGTGGTGGCGGCGACGCCGTGGCGGCCGCCGTCTGTGCTTTTCGAGAATGGCTTGATCACCGCCGTTTGGTTGGGGTTCTCCTTTTTGTTGATGTGGATCGACAGCCGTTGCCACAGGTGGGCCCCCCGGCTCGTGCTCTTCTCATTCGGGGCCCACGTGACTGATTTCCCATTGGAGCTGCAGAAGGAAAGAGAGAGAAAGAGAGGCAGGATTTAAGGGCCCGTATTTGGAAAGACTTATTGTGGTGGTGAGTTAAGAGCATCGGAGCCCCCGGGTGCCATTCTTGCAAAGCTGATGTTGCACAATTTGCAAACTGTTAATGAAATAAGCAAACGTTAAACATACTCCTGGCGCAAGCAAATATGGCTGTTGTCGATTGGCCTTGAACCAAACAACCGCGGCACCCCAACGAACCAGCTTCCCACATCTAAACCATGTGACCACCAACGGTGTTTCTTTCTACAACCTTTGAAGGATGTAAATGGCTTACAGGGCTCTTTTTGTAGAAAAAGCCCAGCAGGAACTTATTATCATAATAGGCCACACCCAACCGCAGAAACTCATTAGCCTGTTAGTCCACACCACTGACAGCACCGCTCGTTAGCACATTAGGCCGCACCCCCATGTTACCAGAAGTGTGGTCATCCAGCCACACCCACCTTTTGTTTCTTATTCTGTTTACCTTGTTTGTTGTCAAAACCCAAGGCCTTTTTTTGTAGCAGGGACTCCTTTGCGTGTTAGGCCACACACCCCTAATGTAGCCAGTCCTAATGAGTTTCTGCTGTTGGGTGTGGCCTGTTATGCTAATGAGTTCCTGCTGGGCGTGGCCAACTCGGGAGCCAGCCGGAACTCCGTTCCTGTGCGTTCCTGCCCAAAAATAGCCCTGGCTTTTCAGACAACCTACCCGTTATTATCATATCCATTTTACACATGGGACAGTAAGGTTGAGAGAGAACTAACAGTCCAAGGCCACACAAGGGGCTGGTTCCCATGCTTCTCGTTCTGGGACAGGCATGTTCACCTTTTCCATCACACACCCGTGGGCATGCCACATGAAGGCCCAGTTTCCTTGCTCTCCCCACTTTATAAGTTATAGTTAGTTCGTTAATTAAAAATACCGTATGGCCTTGAGTATAGATAAGCATATGGAGCAGAGGTCCATCAGTGGCTATTAGCCACAAGGTATAGACAGGGGCTCTGGGGCAAGTGATGCTCTGTCATCTTGGTGCTTGGGGGGGGGGTCAACAGTGGGAGGGCTTCTAATGTCCTGGCCCCACTGCTGGACCTCCTGATGGCACCTGGTATTTTTGGCCACTGTGTGATACAGAGTGTTGGACTGGATGGGCCTTTGGCCTGATCCAACATTGGCGTCTCTTATGTTCTTATGTTCTCTTATAGTATTGCCGGAAGATCCCAAGATAGTCTGGCAGCCAGAAGTTCTAGCTCTTTTAGCATTATGAACCACTAGGTGGTGAGCTAAACTTGTCTTTTTAGGCAAGAGATGTTTCAGAGGTGGTTTGCCATTGCCTGTCTCTGTGTCACACCCCTGGTATTCCTTGGAGGACACCCTTCCAAACACTAGCCAAGGCCGACCCTGCTTAGCTTCTGAGATCGGGCTACCCTGGGCTATCCAGGCCAGGGCGTTACTTATAGGGTTTTTTAATTTATACCCCACTTTTCTTCCCAACGGGGATCAAAAGCAGAGTGCAAGTCATCCTCCCTCCTCCACGCTATCCTCACAACTGCAGCCCTGTGAGGCAGGTTAGGCTGAGAGAGAGCACAAGGTCCAAGGTCACTCAGTGACCTTCCACGGCAGAGTGGGGAACTGAACCTCGGTCTCTGAAATACTAATTAGTCACTCCAACCACTGAACTGCACTGACAGCTTTGGTGTATCCCTCTGTGTGGAGCAGCTCTTTGTGTAGCAGGAACTCCTTTGCATCTTAGGCGACACACCCCTAATGTAGCCAATCATCCAAGAGCTTACAGTAGCCCCTGTAAGAAGAGCTCTGTAAGCTCTTGGAGGATTGGCTACATTGGGAGATTGGGCGTGTGTCGCCTAAGATGCAAAGGAGTTCCTGCTACAAAAAGAGCCCTGCATCACCTTGTTATGTTATGCCCGTGAAAGAGAAGGTCACCCCGGCCCAGAAATCTGGGGATGAATAGGGACCGTTCATTTCTCCCCAGCACCTGGGAACACAGGAAACCAGCTTCCCGTGCAATTATCTACTGTAGCAAGGCTGTTGGAGCCACATTTGAGGCAAAATCATAGGTGATGCCATTTCAAGGCATCATCTCCACAAGGAGAGGCAGTTCGGCGTAGCAGTTCAGAGCGGTGGACTCTAATCTGGAGAACCGGGTTTGATTCCCCACTCCTCCACATAAAATCCTGCTGGGCGACCTTGGGTCAGTCACGGTTCTTTCAGAAATGTTCTCTCAAGAGCCGTTCTCTCAGATCTCTCTCAGCCCCACCTACCTCACAGAGTGTCTGTTGTGGGGAAAG